TTTTTCTTTTCCTCAATCATTTCTTTAGGAAAGAAAGAAGTAAAATTGTCATTACTTGCAGATGACATGATCCTTTACATAGAAGATCCCAAAAATCGCTCAAAAAGGCTGCTAGAATAATCAAATTCACCAAGGTATCAGGATACAAAACACACAAAAATCAATGGTATTCCTGTACACTAATAATGAACTCACTGAGAAAGAAATTAGGGAAATAATACCATTCACAATAGCATCAAGAAAAATTAAATACTTAGGAAGTAACCTAACCAAGGAAATAAAAGACCTCAACAAAGAAAACTACTGTACTCTAAAAAGGGATATTGAAAAGAACATCAGAAAATGGAAAGATACCCCTGTTCCTGGGTAGAAATATTGTTAAAATGGCCATACTCCCAAAACTAATATAGAGATTTAATGCAATCCCAATTGTTATGGCTTGTATCTAGATGTCCTCTCAAAGTGGTCATAGGTGGAGCTTTTCAGAGGTGGCTGGATCTAGAGTGTGATGCTGAGATTAAGTGTGTGATGCTAGGATCGAGGGTGTGTGTTGTGTCTAGATGTCCCCCCAAAGCCTCATGCAATTATAGGTGGGGCTTTTTCAGAGGTGGCTGGATCTAGAATGTGTGATGCTGGGATTAAGGGTGTGTGATTACTAAATTAGTCCACTGAGTGTTGACATCTGCCTTAAACTGGGTAGTGTAGCTTGAATATAACAGGGGCAGAAAGAAGCTGCTATTGTCACTTGTAGCTTGGTGCCTTCTGCCTTCTGCCTGCCATGAACTATTTTTCCTCTGCGATGTGCCTTTGCCATGCTGCCCTGTCTTGGAGCCAGCCAGTTATGGACTGAAGCCTCTACAAAATGTGAGCCAAAATAAACCCTTTCTCCTTTAACTTTGGGTGTTGAGTAGTTTGTCTCAGCAATGAGAAAAGTAACTAAGATAGTTGTGATTACTAAATTAGTCCACTGATTGGTTTGGCACAGTTCTAAGAGTGGATAATGGGAAGGCCTTCCTTGGGTGTGAGTGTTACATGCCTAAGTGCAGGTAGCCTAGATAAAATATAAGGGACGTTAAGAGGGTTGTTGCTTGTTGCTTGATACTTTGCTGCTTTGCTGCCTTCTTCCTGCCATGAGCTGCTTCTCCTCTGCAATACCCCTCTGCCATGCCACATTGCCTTAATTGGTTTGAGCAATATATGAACTGAAACCTCTATGAACTGTGAGCTAAATAAACCTTTCCTCTTCTAACTTTGGGTGTCAGATATTTTGTCTCAGCAACAAGAATAAGTAACTAAGACACCAATCAAAATACCAGTGACACTCCTCACAAAACTAGAGAAAACAACCCTAAAATTCATATGGAACCAGAAGAGACCCAGAATAGAAAAAGAAATCCTGAGCAACAAGAGCAAAGTAGGAGCCATCACACTCCCAGATTTCAGGTTACATTACAAAGCTACAGTCATAAAATCAGTGTGGTACTGGCACAAAACAGACTTAAGGCTCAGTGGAACAGAATAGAGGATGCAGAAAGAACTCCAGGCATATTTAGCCATCTGATCTTTGACAAAGGGTCCAAAAACATACCCTGGAAGAAAGACAGACTTTTTAATAAATGGTTCTGGGAAAACTGGCTATTCACCTGCAGAAGATTGAATTTAGACCCATATCTCTCACCATGTACTAATCTAGAATCAAAATAGATCAAAGACCTAAATATTAAAACAAAAACAATCTTCTGGGAGATAAATAGGTAAAACTTGAAGACATAGGCAAGAACTTCCTGAACAAAAGCCTAATTGCCCAAGAAATAGTACCAAGAATCAACAAATGGGATCATATCAAATTAAAAAGCTTCTGCACAGTAGAAGAAACAACCAACAGAGTGAACAGAGAACCTACAGAATGGGAAAAAAATTTCCAGCTAATTCTCAGATAACTAATATCTAGAATAGATAAAGAACTCAAAAAATTAGACCCCCCCCAAATAAAAGACCCAATTGAAAATGGGCAGCTGAAATGAATAGATACACTTCTCAGAAGTACAAGTGGCCAAGAAATACATGAAAAAATGTTCAACATCTCTGGCTATTAGAGAAATGCAAATTAAAACAACACTGAGATTCCTTTTACCCCAGAAAGAATGTTCATCATCAAGAAATCAAATAATAACAAATGCTAGCGAGGCTGTGGGGGAAAAAAGCACCCTTCTACATTGTTGGTGGGAGTATAAACTAGTACAACCACTGTGGAAATCAGTTTGGAGATTCCTCAAAAATCTCACAATAGAAATTCCATTAGACCCAGATATTCCCTTTCTAGGTATCTTCATGAAGAGTTAAAGACATCATATTACAATGATACATACATACCCACGTTTATAGCAGCACAATTCATAATAGCTAAATCTTGAAAGTATCCTGTTTATCAACAGATACACGGATAAAAAATGTGGTGTTTATATACAATGGAGTACTATAAAGAAATTGGAATCATTTGTAGGCAAATGGATGCACCTTGAGACTATAATGTTAAGTGAAATGAATCAGATACACAAGCTTAAATATCACATGATTTCTCTTATATGGAAACTCCAAGTATAAAGAGCAAAATAAAAGATAATAGGGGGCCGGGGATTTAGCTCAGTGGTTCCAGTGCCTGCCTTGCAAGTGCAAGGTCCTGAGTTCAATCCCTGGTACCAAAAAATAATAATAATAATAATAGGAAATAGGAAGCTAGAACTTTTGCAAAAGGGAAGGGGACCAAGAGATTCAAGGAGAAGAGGAGAGAGGGGAGGGGAAGAAAGGGGATAAAAAAGAATTCAGATGTGTTATATACATATACATATATTATATACTGCCAACATGTACTAATAAAAAGAGTAAAACAATGAAGATAATCATAAAGAAACAAAAAAAAAACCCCATTCCTGGATCTTTATAAATGATTATGTATTTGTTGGCCAATTCTTTATATTCCTTTAAGAATGTGAGATCCATGAGGCAGGGACTTTATCTTTCTTTTTTATAACACCTAATGGGCTCTCAATAAATGTTTGAATGAATGTTGTTTGGAATAGAAAAGGGGAGGTAAGTTCAAGAGGAAGTTGAGTACAAGTGTCCCCAGAAGGCCCTGGAGAGCAGAGAAAACATCCCCTGAAGAGGGACAGCATGCTCAGTCACAGAGGTGGGGAGCCTGTGAGTTCCATGGAGCTGGCTGGTCCGTCAGCATGAACAAGGGCAGCAGTGGGGAGGGAGTGGCAGGACAGAGGGCTAGGATTAGGAAGAGGTCAGATCAAGCCACCCAAAGGGAAACTACTGGGGATTTAAAGGTAAGAGACAGTCCCATTAGCAATCAGAGGCAGGTGATCTGCAGGGGATGGATTGGAAGCAGAGATACATCCTTAGGGGCCAGTACAGAGGCCTATGCAGCAGTCCATGATGGCATGACCCTAGGCAGTACTTGTGGAGACCAGAGACACTAAAGCGTGTGACAGACAGCTAGGAATGATATCAGACATAGTACCCTTTGACCCGGTGACAATGGGAATTAAAAACCAGGTCAAGGAGTCTGAGAAGGCAGGCAAAGCTTTCATAGGGAAGTAGCAGAGAATGGAGAGGATGAGCTGGAGGAGGTGTGCATGGCACTGGTGGGGAGGACCGGGCTGGAAGTTAACAAAGGAACTGACCCAGCTTTTATGGGGGTTGCTGGGCTGGGCTGGCCCAGGGTCTGGTTGACCATTATTTCCATTCTGTTTCTACAACGTGGCTCCAGAGAATTCCTTATGACTTGAGGGAGGCAGTATGGGTCCCATGAAATAATCGCTTCTGCTTGGAGTGGGGGCAGTCTCAGTTTTTCAGAAACTTTGCAGGAACCCAAGGTGACTGCAGGTTTAGAGAAATGGCCAGACACTTCTAGGCACCATTCCAGGAGTCCGGAATAGGACACTGTAAGAGCTGGCACTTGAATCTCCCTGCAAACCATGAGAATACCATAAGTTACTCTTGGTGTCCTTAGCCTTAAAGGCAGATGACATAGGTTAGGTAAACTTAGGGCTAACAAACTTTGTATGACTAGCTTTTAGACAGACACTTCTTATGTGATTAACATGACTACATGCAGAGCTGGCCAGGGACCTGACCCAAAGATTAAGGTAATGAAGGAGACAGATACAAAACGAAGAAAGATACTCCAAGCTTTATCCTGGTGGTGGGTACTCATTGAGTATCTGTAGGCTCAAGTGAAAAGTCACTGTTTAGTAAAAGCAGCCTTTATGTCCTGCTTGCCTCAGAAGAAAGCACATATCATGCTTTTAATGACTAACAGGCTAAGGGCCCCGGAGTTAGCTTGTCTTCTGTCCTCCCATGCTGATCCCAATGGCTTTATTCTCTCATCTGGTTCATTCTTGGAGATGCTATGGTAAAATATCTTGAGTTTAATGATGCACCTGGTTTTGAGGTCAGGTTGTTGAGAAGAGTGAGGGGCAGGGAAGAACACCCACCATACTTTTAGTGCCCTAAGTTGAGGCCCCAGAGGTGCATCTGCCCTGTGTCCCATGGTGGTCTCTCCTTGTCTCAGAAAGTGGAATCAGGAATGCATAAACTAACATTTCTTTGGACTCGGACAAATCAAATTCTGCCTCCCACCTTGTGGGTTGTGCAACCATGAGAAGTCACTTAATTGTCCTCATTGCAAAGTACCGATAATGTCACACACTCTTCTGCCAATTTAAGGACTAAATTAAATTACCTGGCTATAACAATGTCCACCAATTTGGTGCCTATTTAGTGCACAAGATGAAAGCTGAATAAATGTCAGCTCTTTCCTCTCACCTTTCTCTTATTTTCCGGTTCAACTCCTATAGGAATTAGAAAACAGGAAGGGCGTTTTTGAGAAGAAGTGGCACAGTTTTAAGGTTTTGACCTGAAGGACTTGGGCAGCAGCTGGGCTATGTAGAAGGTGCACAGAGCTAAGGATGCTATGATAGTGGGGAGCTTACCCTTGTTGATCCTTCTAGTCCTATTAGAGAGATAATAGTGCACAGAATCTTATAGCTGAAATAAAAATAAAATAATGAAAAGTTATGTTTTAATCATACCATAATTTTAATGACCTTTTATTAAGAAAGTATATTCTTAATAGCTACAAAATAAAATCCATGGAACCATCATCCAGTTTTAACAGTTCACATAATTTTAATTTTTGTTATATCATCTCTTTACTCCATGTTTTTTGGCAATGTCAGGCCATTTCATGTCATAGTATATTCTTTGAGAAGGCCTTTGTTTGTTTGTTTGTTTGTTTTTTGAGACAAAATATCACTGTGTAGTTCAGGCTGGCCCTGAACTCACTATGTAGCCCAGGCTGGCCTTGAACTCATGGCAATCCTCCTGCCTCAGTCTCCCAAGTGCTGGGATCACAAATGTGTGCCACCACATTTGACTGAGAAGGACTTTTTCTAAAAAATATAACTATTATTACATCTAACAAATTTAACAATTCTTTAATATTACATAATTTCTAGTCCATGCTGTTTCTCTCAGTTATATTAAAATTGTCTTTCTATTGTTTGTTTGACTTAGGATGCAAATAAGGCTCATACGTTGCAGTGTTATCTTATTTTATGTATGACAGTTTCCTTCATTTAAACAATGGCATTTATTTGTTGAAGAAACTAGGTCATTTTTCATATAAATTTTTCCTACCATCTGGATTTGATTGATTTCAATCTCAGGGTGTCATTTTATGTGTTCCTCTGTCCCTTGTATTTCTCGTAAAGTGGTAGTTTTATCTATAAGCTTGATTAATTTCAGGTTCCATCTTCTTGGCAGGAATACTTCATAGGTTGTGCTGTATATTTTATAATTTATCAGGAAGCAATTTCTCTTTTTCTCTTTTAGTGATATTAAGATTTATCAGTGACTAGGAATTGTCAGCTTAATCTTTTGCAAAACCCTTCATAACCTTTCACCTAGTAGCATTAGTAAACTTAGATGTTTACCTGAATATATTATTTCATTAGGAATTGTGAAATAGTAATTTTATTTCTTTCATTTCTTCAGCATGTATTAGCTTCTATGAAGAACTATTCCTTAGTGAGTCATTGGTAAACAGTTTTTTAAGGAAAAGTAGGATAAAGGCTTGATTCCTTTTTTTATTTATCAGTTTCTGATTAATTTAACAATTTTGCCATTAGGTTTTTGAGGAAAGGGGAAATATTAAGAACTCAGGGATCGATCCCTGGTACCAAAAAAAAAAAGAAAAAAGAAAGAACTCAGGGATTTTGTATAATTGGAATGTTTCAATCCATTACAGTCATTATTTTTTGACTTGTAAGAACTCTTTTAAAGTTGGCCCCTGAATAGTACTTTATAATTTACAACATACTCAACATACATAAGGCATCTGAACCTCACAAATAACCTTTGCAACCTGGGTATTATTGCCCAGTTTTTCAAATGAGAAATAGAGATTATAGGACTTGAACCAGGACTTAATGTCTATTGTTCTATTATATGTAACAGTGGTTGGGAGAATGAGAGTGAAAGGTGGCAAAATTACTTTCCTATTTGTCTTTTCTCTGGCTCTGAGATTAAATGGCAGATGCCTTTTACCAGTGGGAATATGATATTATGCAATATCCACTTTAGAAGACATTACTTGTGGCAAACACTGTTGAGAATAATGTTATGCTGATAATACTGTAACTTAGCAAATAGGCTCTCTCAACTTTGTTTGTGAAGCATTTCAATTTTGATTACTCTGTGTGGGAGCTGCTGCTCAGATGGGTGTCATTTTATGGTCTGCCCATGTCTGGGGAGCTGGCATTACATGCTGCCTAGTGTTTTTAATTCAGAAGTTCTTCTAAAAGAAACCTTAGCCTCTTATATTCCAGCCCTAGTTTTAATAGCATAAGCTATTTCCTTCTTATATAGCTTTGTGGGCATAGTAATAAAATAAATACCACAAAATCACTGATGAGATGAAAATTGAGCTCCCTGCTTTTGTGCAGCCATGTAGGTAAAACAGTAATTGGCTCTGATAATAACTTTTGTTCTTAAAAACCGAAGTCTAAATGAGAGTCACATTTGATATATCTGCTTGTAATTACTATCAAAAGGAGAGAAGACAAAGTTTAGATTGTTCAGTGACTCAAGATAGATTAAATAAATTGCTCTTTTCTTGACCAATTTAAGAAAAATTTTTAAAAATTATTTCTGATATTTATCGTACTGTTGGTAAAAAATGATCATCTTGCAGAGCATGTTTTTCTGCTCAATGGAATGCTTAATTTTATTATTTTTTAAAAAAATCTATAATTGCTTTTTTCTTAGAAAAAACCTTATTACTGGATCTAATAATATAGCTGATGCTTATAAGTATTTTCCTATACATTCCTGTAGATGGTTTATAAGACAAAGTTAGGTTTTAAATGTATTTGGTAGTAGTTTTCAGTAAACCCATCTGATACTTTAATATTATCTAAATATATTTTCATTGAATAAGTTTTAAAAGGGAAATTAAATCATGCATGTTACATATTATTATTTTAGTATACACATACTTTGGTTCAAAAGAGTAAATATTAGACTATTAATAATTTTAAGAGACCTTTTCTGTTGCTTTAGATGCCGACAAATAAAGAATTAATGTTACAGCTTATTATTTTTGTCATATTTCTACTTACATACTGATTTATTTTTAGAATATCTGTGTCCAGTGCCACAGAAATGCAAAAATGTCGCACAAGGACCCGAGTTGGATCTCTGGTACCAAAAAAAAAAAAAAAGAAATGCAAAAATGGCCAGACAACAACTGGATTTTAATGTCAGGCTTAACAATGATACTGCATTTGGTCATTTCCTCCCTGTACCAGACCCATAACAATACAAAGTTGATGAAGCATAATAAAACCAGGAAAACTGCTCTGGTCCACTGAGCCAATGATCCCAGAATTAAAAAGTTCTAACAAAGCTTAGACATGATAAATGAAGCTATTACCATCAACTGTATCCAGAATACACATTTTAAAAACACACTAATTACAGAAACTACATCCAGTCAATATAATACATATTAGCAATTTCCTGATCCTTGGTAGAATGGAAATTATTCTGAAAGTTTAATTAAGAAGGAAAAAATTATGTTCAGGTATTAATTTCAATAAAAGAGGCACTAGGCTCCCATGCAAAAACCCCAGAGTAGTACTGTGAGTGTGGGTTAGCCACAGAAGAAAACCTATTTGTAATTAGGCACTACATTACCTTTGTCATCATATCTACCTCCAGGAGAAAGTTACAGAATGTGCCATGTTTGAACCTGTGTCTCTGTCTGGGTTAAATAAAGCAGACAGGGCAGTTATTTGCAGATTTGGTTATTAAGATACAATTTTAGGGCCGGGGATTTAGCTCAGTAGTTCCGCTGCCTGCCAAGCTCAAGGTTCTGAGTTCAATCGTCGGTACCAAAAAAAAAAAAAGATGCAATTTTAAAAATATAAGGAGGGTTTGGAGCATGTGTTAAGAAATAGCTTTTATCTAGACCGGCATTACATTCCAAAGATATTTTTGTAGCCTTTCCCTTCACTTTGACCTTAGCCATTTATGTATATTTATGATCAAACAAATAACTGAATCATGATCTAATCTGTCTGGTTCCTACAACCGTTTTTTACATTGTATCAGATATCTCAGAACTAAGATATTTTTCTTTCCTTTTTGTTTTTGGTGCTGGGGATTGAATCCAGAGCCTTACACATGCTAGGCAACTAGCACGCTAGGTATATAGCTCTACCACTGAGCTATACCCTCAGCTCCAGAGCTGTGATACTTAATTGAGCTAAAATCAGCTGTTTAAAGTTGTTCATAGTACCTCCAGCCTCTTTAAAAAAAATACTGTAAGTCACAAAGGTGCATATTCTATGATTTCATTCACATCAAATGTCCAGAATTCATACATCAATAGAGAAGTGGATTGATTAGTGGTTATCTGGGGCTAAGGAGAGGAGGAAAAGGGTAGGGATTGTTAATGGGTATGAGGCCTTATTTTGATGAGAATGTTCTGGCAGCACAGCTTTGTGAATGTACTAAAAACCATTGAATTATGTATTTTAAAGGGTTCTGGGTTTTTTGTTTGTTTGTTTGTTTGTTGTGGGGTTTTTTTGTACCGGGGTTGAACTCAGGACCTTGTGCTTTTGAGGCAGGCAGTGGAACCACTGAGCTAAATCCTAGCCCTAAAGGGTTCTGTTTTATGGCATGTGAATTATATCACAATAAAAAAGTCACAAAAGATTTTAGAAATTGTTGGTGATATCATATTCCCTAAGTGTCAAGTTATGTTTTAGCTTCAAGTCATAGAATGCCAAAGTTGGGGGATAGTTCAGGAGATGATCAAATCGAACGGGTGCATTTTACAAGTAAAGAAACTGATGTCCAGAGAGGTGAAGGGACTTCCCCAGGAACTCACTCAGCAGTCCAAGGTGGAGCTGGCATCCAGGACTTCCGGCCCCTGTCCAGTGCCCCTCCCACCACCATTGTGCTGCCCAGTCATGGTTCCTTTTTAAGCGTCAACAATAATGGATCTGTGTGAGCAAGATGCTTGTATTATTTCTAGTGAAAGCACAAAGTATTCTTATAGACAGCAAAATCTCTGTGAAGGAGTAGGTAAACCTATTGTGGTAAATTGATTGGGTCCAAACAGATCTACCTGCCTGTATCTCTGGAGGAAAGTGGCTGCATGAACAGATCAAGGGAGCCCTCTACCTGTGTATTTGTAGTATAGATTTCATTGACAAAATCCTCAACCTAGAGAGCTAAAAATAAATTGAGACCAGGTATTCTTTTCCTTTGTCCACCTTGGTGTTGGCGTCTAGCATTATTTCTGAGAGAAGAAATAATGTCTGAGGAGGATGTATTTACATGAGCAATTGGATACATAGAGGAAAATCTCCCTGAAGTTCCTTTTCTGTGAATTAAAGGGGCTAATTAGGAGCCTAAATAAAAGACCCAAATATATTTTCCAGTGATAATTACTTTAAAACATTATTTTCAAAGAAATAAGTATTCCTCTGAGAATATAAGATGTTCACATTTTTGTTCAGCTGGCATGAAAGTTTCGTTGTTTCTTTGTTTCAGCAAAAGATAGGGTTGAATGTAAAAATCATGCAAGATCCTGAAAACATCCACCACAGAGCTGCTGTAAATGCGAACTATGGGATCAGTTTGCCATATATTAATCAGAGAAAAGCACATGTAAGTAATGAGTTGTTTTAATGAACACTTATTTTTTTAAAGAATTAAAAGTAATTTATTAGTAGTCTAAGGGATAATGTGGATTTGAAGTGAAATTGGGATCCTTTTGTCCTATGAATTTTTTGGAGATGAAACAGAATGGCTTTCATTCTGTCTGTAATTAGTAATGATTAAGAAAATGTAAAGCTATTTTAAAAGATCTCTTTGTTGCTCATTCAGACTTCTGTTTTATTCGGTATTCCTAAACAGTACCATAATTATAACAAGGAAAAGTAATTTAATAACAAAAAGAAGAGAGAAATTTAAAATAGTTTATGTCTTGAAAAGTAGGTTAGCACTAGAAAAATAAGAACAACAGCCCAGTACACTAATGCAAGAATTTAAGAATATCCTAAATCTGAAGCAAGCAGGAACTGTTCTTTTATGTCAGCAAAATAATAAGAAAGAAAAATAATCAAATGTAGATTTGCATGAAGGAATTTCTGAATCTATGCTTGTTTTTTGCCATTAACTTGCTAGTAAAGTGCCCCAAAGCAAGGGATTGCATCCTTTCTGCGCTGTGGGGTTTTCTTAGGAGAATTAAGAGTGCTTAATTTTAACAGTGAAATTATTTAATTCAAGATCATTTCTCATACTACAAACAATTACTGAGGTGGAATCTATACATTTTTTAAAACTTTGTGTCTCCCAAAAGCTCTTAAACGTATACTTTGGTAAAATTAAAACTAAAAACAAGATTAACTGTAGGGTTAAATTGCAAAACCATTTCTAACTAGCACAATAGTCTCTGAGATTAATCTTCCAAATTTCCTTTATGGATATTTTCAACTCCCTACTTCATTCATGTAACTGAGAAATATATTTTAAGTCTCCTTATGTTATGTGCTTTATGTTATCCTAACAGGTTTGCTTTAAGAGCACTTTATCATAGAAATACTTTTATAGCCTAAGAAATAACCAGAAAGTTAGATATTTTTATTCCTGCTGAAACTTTATTTAAAATGTCACTGTGAATAATGTGAAACGGGTTTTATCTGGTTCCCATGAGCCCAAAAGCCCTTGAAATAAAAATATTATTTCTCTGGCTGTACAGACAGAAGCAGATTTCTCTTTTGTTGTTGTTGGTTTTCCTCTTCCATCTAGAATTAATATTGGCTTAGCTGGTGGAGTGCTGAGGCTTTGTAGCCTAGGGCAATGGCAGAATTTCCTGCAAACTTTCTCTGATGAGTGTTGGAGTTCTTAAAGGCAAACCTCTAGTTGTAGGGAGGATTAAGTCTGCTTTAGGAATCCAATAGAAGATTCTGACTTAAATGGGGGATTCAAAATTATACCCAAAATTTGGGCCAGTATCTTTTTTCTGTACTGTTTTTTTCTAATTTCTAAGTAGAATGCATGTTGAACCTATTGTTGCCATGCACTTCGAGTAAATAGGATTTGGGGGAGCACTTTGCTCTGTGTAAATACTGACAATGTATATTCATTTTCCTTATCAAAGATCCTTCTGTTTCATAAAATTTGACTCTGCAAAAATCTACACCAGAGTATTTTAAAATTGGATGTACATTATCTGTATTTTGCTTGAATTATTGACATTTTGATCAAAACAGTTTGTTGACTACCACTTTATGTTGGTAGAAATATATGGCACTAACTTAAAAATAGCATTTTTATGTAGGATTTATAAAACAAAATTAGCATTCAGAAAGTCCTTTGACAGAAGTATTAGGGCATTTGGTTTTAATCATGTAAAGCATTTGAGGGCAAACAGTCCTGGCTTATCACTTGTAAAAATGTTCTTTAAAAGCACTTACCTCCACTGAAGCAATGTGTCTAGCATCGTGAGGTGTAGTTAATTAGAAAAGCAGCACCAGGGCTAATCGCTTTTCAGAACTACTCCGAACACTCAGAGGGGATTACTATTTGGCAGCTGAAGGCCATGTGTTTCTTTACTTCTTATGAAACTTAAACAGCTTGTCAAAAGCCTATAGATAATCTCAGACAATTTTTGACAAAGCAAATTTGAATAGGTAGCCGGTTTACATTATTAGTTCTTAGGAGCTGCCAGTATTCTTTCCTTCTGATGAAGAAGTGCTTTCCTCAACTGCCGGAAGATTTCAGGGCTTTGAAACACATATTCTCGTACTGCCTTGCACAGACGGGTGTATCACAAGCTGCCTCCAGAATTTTATATTCTGTGACTCTATTATGCAAAATAATTTACAGAAAACAAAACCATTAAAAGTGAAGCTTGCTATTGATTTTTTTCAAATCTTAAATCTGCCAAATAAAAACCAAACAACTCCCTAACATGTTGTTGAGTGGGTCCTTATTTGTATGAAGAGCTGGGAAGAAATCCCTGGTACTGTTCATATTTATTCGCTGGCATCTAGTTCTAGTTAGACTTTATAATGCAACACACTAAAAGATCTACAGAAAATTTGACTTTGATTTATTTTTTTTAAATAAAAGAGGTTTCTTAAAAGGCTTGAAACATGTATGTGTTAACATGAATTTTAAAAGAACGATTATGAATGCATAACAAAATAGCCAAACAAAACATTGTTTTGAATTGCTGCACAAATAACTCTGATTATAACTGTTATGACCTAGAAAAGAATCATAAAAACATTTTTCTTTTTGGCAAGATATGAGTTGCTGTAGAATTATATCAGTTCTTTGGTCCCACTTTCCAAATAAATAAATAAATATATAATGCAATGTAAACTTAGAATCTTTCATTTATTCATGAGATGGAATTTAATACTATTATGATTTCTAGATTTTATGAGTCATATGTTATGCAGTGTTTTTCACTAACTTACTTGGGTAGCAACCGCACTTCACAAATCATAGTTTCATTCTTTACTGTTTCACTTGGGGTATACATAGTAATCGCTCTCTCACTGAAAGCGCATTCATTTCTGAGATGATAAAGTAATGGAAGTGAGGCAATTGTGTTAATGTCAAATGATTAGAAGAAATACCAGAAGTAAAGGACGGGGGTGTGAGGCAGTGGGTAGAAGGAGGATTTCAAAACATGATTGTGTTCTAAGCCCATGCATATGGCCACAATTACAGTCACAACATAATTTGGCAACGGTAGCAGAATTAGATTTAAACAAATTGATGTTACACTGCAGTAATTCAGAATGAGCTTGTTGCATTTATAAACCATAACAAGAAGCAGAGTGAATTAATAAACCCTTCTTGTCACTAAAAATAAAAAAGGGAATAATTGCTGAGATGGAGTTAACTTAACAGATGACTATAGTCAGCATCCTTTCAGCCTAGATATGGGAAAGTGAAGGTCACCCCCATTTCAGATGACAAAGAGGGAACATTTTGTTGATAAACAAATTAATCTTTTGAAAGGTCGCCATTTGTTTTAAGTTTTTATCCAGTTCTTGTCATCTGGAATCAGAGATTGACTGTCATTTCACTAGGCAGGGGTGCAGTTGAAGCAGACAAAGCTGCTTCTGTACAAATCAGCATTCCTTGACAAAACCCAGTGCCTGATTGTGATGCTATGGGCTGCTGGTTTACAGCTGTCTCCGGACAAGAACGGAGGCTCACCCCTGAATCCCAATAAGATGGGCCTGCATATTCCGCCTGCTGTAAGCTGGCCCTCTGCCCACAAGTAAAATGTATTGTAGTTCAAGCCAGCAATTATCTCCTTTCCTTCCTTCTGTGCTGCTTCTGTTCCCTTTTTCCAAAAACAGATGTGGGTATTCACTCAAGTTCTGCATCTATTCTTTCTCACACCTGCCAGGGCAGGATTTTGACAGAGGTAGAGTTGGAGGGAGCCAGCAGACAACAATCACATGTAATTTCTTTGAGAGCAGTTTAAAAAGAAAATGTTGATTTTTCAGGAAATGTAGAGTCAGCATCTTGGCCCCCCTCCTTTTTCCCAGGAGCATTTGGTAAATTAAATTAGTTGAACAAAAGGAAATAGCTTTAAAGACGTTCTGAAATGCCATATCCTATTTATGACACACCGTCATTACCCAAGGACTGCGATGGCATGTGTGGCACCCCTACTTCCCGCCACTGGTGGTTCGGAAAGAGTTTTTGAAAACACAGTGATTGTGCCCTTCCTGATCCATACCCCATAAAATGTATCCTCCCAGTGTGGTAGCAGTGGTGGAGGTGGTTTGTGTTGCCTTTGTATGCTGTTAGTTTTGGAGTCATGGGAGAGAAGATAACGATGTGACAGTGGCTGGTGTGCAGCTGTCTCATGAAAGCCCACTGCTCAAGGAGTGGGGGGAAGCAATTAGAGGTTACGCCCTCATTAGATAATGTTCCTTAACAGCCTAGCTGTGGTGAGTCCCTAACTTCCTTCAAACGCCATAGTTCTTAAGCTTCTGGGCTAAGGTCCTGTGAACAGCCCCAAACCAACCCTGCAGTGACCTCAAAGCACTTTTTAGCACTTAGTGTAGTGATTCTGAGTCACACTGTTGCTACATGGGGCCCCCTAGAAACAGCCTCCATTTCCTTCATTTCCTTATACTTAAAACGCCCATAGCAAGAGTGTATCTCATAGAATGGTACTGAGATTTAAGGGAGTTAACCCAGAGCACTTAGTAAAGGTCATGATACAAAGAAGTGCTCTGAAAATATTAATTACAATTAGCGATTCTCCCATATTGTATTGTGTTACTGTTTTATACTGTCATTTAAAAACTTATATTATTGTAGAGGACAGGGGAGGGAGCAAGAATATTGCTGAGATGTCTTCTGGGGATACTATTTAATATTTCATAGGATGATGTCTTCTTTCCCACATGGCTACGAGGATGGGGGCTGTAGTCTATCCTGTTTATCTTTTTTTCAAATCCTCCACAGCACCGCATAGTGTTACACACAGCAAATACTAGGGAGAAGACTGGTTTGTCCTCTCATCTGTGCAGTCTCTGCTCTGAAGCTGTACAGCCTGATGCAGTCTGGAAGTGAAGTTGTGATTTTTTTGGCCCCTGCTTGGCCTGGTTGCTCAAGGCATCACC